CATGTATTCTCTTGTATTTATGACTTTGCTTGGTGCAGTGACAACTAACAGTTACATGAATTTTTCATATTTTATAAACTATATTTCAGGTTGTACCATTTCTAAATTATATACCAGCTATAGCAAGAGTATTTTACATGTTTTCTTTCAAGGTCCCCATCAGATGCAGTGAACTTCATATGGTTCAGGTATTAACTTATTTTAAATGCTATTTCAACATTTGCTTAGTACTGTTTTCTCCCACCTTGTCCCATCAGTAGACTATTTCTGTTTGGAAAAATAAATAAATAAATAGTATCTCATAGGTGAGCATCTAATATAATTTGTGGAATCTTCAAAACAGATGTAATTATAAGTAAGTACATTATCCTGAAATTAGTGCATAACCTTTATATGCTTAATTTTTTTTAAAGTGAGATATAATTTACTTGTAAATTATGCATATTAATTATAAAAATGTACAAGTATACTTAGATAAATGCATAGTTTTATGAATTTTACAAATGTATACGTTTGTATAACCAATATCCAGGCAAGATGTAGCACGTTTCCATCATCCCCTTTAGCAAATTGGCTAGTATACTCCCACCCCACCACCCCAATTCATGTCCTCCTGGAAATTTTGGAAGGTGACCTTTTTCGGAATCAGGGTTTTGGCAGATGCAACTAAGGTAAGAATGAAGACGAGATTATATGGGATAAAGGGACTTAAATCCAATGGGAGTGTCACTATAAGAGACAAAAAAAAGACACGGAGATAGGAGAGAAGAAGGCATGAGACAATGGAGGGATTGACACTGTGTGACTGTGAGTCAAGGAATGCCCTGGGTCACCAAAGGCTGAAAGAGGCAAGACACGATTCTCTGGCGTCCTTCAGAGGAAGCAAGTCCCTGCAGATTCGATACTGGAGTTTCAGACTTCTTGTCTCTGAAACTGAGAGAATAAATTCCTGTTGTTTAAGACACCAAATTGTGGTCATTTGTTACAGCAGCCCAAGGAAACAAATATACCTACTCCATCCTCTGCAAATTCTATTATGCCCCTTTCCAGTTGGTCTTCAATCCTCAAAGGCATGTAGTATTCTTATTTCTATCACCATAGATTAGCCATGCCTGCCTTTGACCTTAATATGAATGAAATTATATGGAGCATGTTCTTTTTTGTATCTGTTTGAATTCTTTTGATCAGCATAATGTGTGTGAATTTAATTCATGTCATGTGTATCTGTATTCTTTTTATTATTGAGTAAAACTCAAATAGTTTGAATATACCATAATTTATCCATTCTGTTTATAGATATTTGGGTTGTTTTTTTCTACTCATATTTCATACATATATTACATCTTTTGTAGCTGTCACTGGTTAAGAAGTTATGTATTCTATTATTGTTTTTGCAGTTGGGACCTTAAGGTTATAGTAGTTACATTTTACTTTAATTTACATTGGTCTTCCTACTAGTAAAGCAGAAACTTTGAATGCTTTAACTTTGGCTTGCTTCTCAAGTCTTCTGTGTTTTTGTGAATATAAGATATTTATTTTCAAAACTTGAAAATCATAATGTATGTTTTTTACATTCTATGATTTTGTATAGAGAAACGAACATATTTTTCAATTGGTGTGTTCCCTAATGCTTGTTGCATTCTACTTCCTCTGGGTTCTGTTTTATTTTCTCCAGTACTTTATTCGTTTAGTGAATGCTTTTTAAAAAATTAAGTTCTTTGCCTTTACTTTAGCTACAGATATCTTTATTTTGCTCACATTGTTAAACTATAACTGCTTATAGAATTATAGTGTGACAATTTTTTCTCAGCATGTTAAGATAGTATCTCAGCTGTCTAACCTTTATTTATTTATTTATGGATTATATGTCTGCTGTCAGTCAAAGTTTTATCCCTCTCTAGATAATCTGCTATTTTTCTCTGGCTTGACTTTATTCTTATGGTATGTAAACATACTGTGTTTCGATGTAGACTTGTTTTGTTCAGTCTGTTAATTTTTTTTAAATCTAAGAACTCATGACTTTAATTCTGGAAATTAATCAGTCATCTCTTTGAGTAGTGTGTTTTATTCTTTTTATATATGTATATACACTTTTAAGTTCAGGGGTACAAGTGCAGGTTTGTTACATAGGTAAACTTGTGTTGTGGGGGTTTGCTGTAAAGATGATTTCACCAGCCAGGCATTAAGCCTAGTACTCATTAGCTATTTTTCCTCATCCTCTCCTTCCTCTGTCCTCTGTCCTCCAACAGGCACCAGGGTCTGTTGTTTCCTTCTATGTGTCCACGTGTTCTCATCATTTAGCTCTGACTTATACGTGAGAACATGTATTTTTTTTTTTTTCTGTGCTATTTTGTTAAGGATAACAGCCTCCAGCTCCGTCCATGTCCCTGCAAAGGACATGATCTCATTCATTTTTATGGCTGTTTGATATTCCATGTTATACATATAACACATTTTCTTTATCTAATCAGTTGATGGGTATTCAGGTTGATTCCATGTCTTTGCTATTGAGAAATAGTGCTGCAATGAGCATATGTGTGTATGCTAATAAATATTCCTTTATATTAGAAGGATTTATATTTCTTTGGGTAGATACCCAATAATGGGATTACTGGGTTGAATGTTATTTCTGTCTTTAGGTTTTCGAGGAATACTACCCTGTCTTCCATAATGGTTGAACTAATTTATACTACCACAAACAGTATATAAGCGTTTATTTTCCTTCACAACCTCACCATCTGTTATTTTTTTGACTTTTTATTAATGGCCATTTTGACTGGTGTGAGATGGTATCTCATTGTAGTTTTTATTTGCATTTCTCTAATAATCAGTAATACTGAATTTTTCATATGATTGTTGGCCACATATATGTCTTCTTTTGAGAAATGTCTGTTCATGTTCTTTGTCTGCTTTTTAATGGGTTTTTTTCCTTGTGAATTTCTTTAAGATCTTTATACTGCTGAATATTAGACCTTTGTCAGATGCATAGTTTGCAAATATTTTCTCCCATTCTTCAGGTTGTCTGTTCAGTCTCATGATAAGTTATTTTGCTGTACAGAAGTTCTTTAATTAGATCCCACTTGTCAATTTTTGCTCTTGTTGCAATTGCTTTTGGCATCTTTTTCATGAAATCTTTGCCTGTGCCTATGTCCTAAATGATAATGGCTAGGTTGTCTTCCAGAACTTTTTTTTTTTTAAATATAGTTCTGGATTTTACATTTAAGCCTTTAATGCATTTTTATATATAGTATTAGGAAGGGGTCCAGTTTCAATCTTTTGCATATGGCTAGGCAGTTACCCAGCACCATTTATTGAGAGTGAATCTTTTCCCCATTGCCTGTTTTTTGTCAGGTTTGTGAAAGATCAGACAGTTGTAGACGTGCCGTCTTATTTCCGGGTACTCTATTCAGTTCCATTGGTCTATCTGTTGTTGTATCAGTACCATGCTGTTTTGGTTAAGGTAGTATAGTTTGAAGTTGAGTAGTGTGATGCCTCCATCTTTGTTATTTTGCTTTGGATTGCCTTGTCTGTTTGGGCTCTTTTTTTGTTCCATGTAAATTTTAACATAGTTTTTTCTAGTTCTGTGAAAAATGTCAGTGGTAGTTTAATGGAAATAGCATTGAATCTACAAATTGCTTTGAGCAATATGGCCATTTAAATAATATTGATTCTTCTATGCATGAGCATGGAATGTTTTTCTATTTGTTTGTATCATCTCTGATTTCTTGGGTAGTGTTTTGTAGTTCTCCTTGTAGAGATTGTTCATCTCCTTAGTTGCCTGTATTTCCTAGGTATTGTATTCTTTTTTGGCAATTGTGAATGAGAATTTGTTCATGATTTGAATTTTGGCTTGACTGTTGTTGGTGTGTTGGAATGCTAGTGATTTTTGTGTGTTGATTTCATATCCTGAGACTTTGCTGAAGTTGCTTATCAGTTTAAGGTGTGTTTTATTCATTCCCTTTACTCTTTCCTTCTGTAGTAACTACCAATCATGTATTGGAACATTTCCGCTTTTTTTTTTCTTACATGCTTATTACCTTTTTATCTTGTTTTGTGCCACAGTTCTTTAAATGTGTTTTTGGTTATGTCATTCTCTCTAGCCTGCCATTCAGCTTCTCCGTGGAATTTTTTTTTTGTTAACTTTTAGATTTTTCATTTCATTCTAATGTGTACATTATTGCCTTTTCCCATGTGATTTCTTGTTCTTCCTTTTTCTCTTCAGTTATCTGGTAGATATTCATTTTAAAGGCTCTTTCAGAATGGCCTTATTTCTGTATTTTTAGGTGTGAAATTTTCTTACTGATACTGATGACTGTTCCTCATGAAGGTTTGCTTTTTCAGGTGATTTATTCATTTTGATGTTAGGGTAGCATTTCATGAAAGCCCAGATCTCAGGATTGTAAAAAGCATCTAGACAGTAGTTCTGTATTTATATTTTTTCTTTGTGGGTTTTCCTGGATCTGAAGAAATTCTTATTTTAAATTGTCAACACCATATAGACCCCACACTACATGATAATTTTAATTTAGATCCCATCCTTGCAGACTTGGTGTTCTTATGTCTCATGAGTTACATTTTCTCTTGTGCCTACCCACTCTGTGCTTCTCTGCTCTGGCCAGTTAGGGCAGGGGGTCATGAACAAACAGCCCTCTCGACTCTATCTACATAAAGGGAGCTAAGTGCCAGATCTTCACATGAATATTTCTCAGCCTGGGTCGAGGACCTTGCCCTAAATTCTACCTCTGGTCTGATACCCCCATGAGCCATTCAGCTTTAGCTTCTGCCTCAACTCTGCCTTGAGTTTCCTCTTTGTTTCTAAGTTTGGTTGTATATTAACCACTTTTTGGATAGGGGAGGTAGAGGAAAAAGGGGGAGGGATATTTTATTTAGTATTTCTATGTGAGTATAGCAGAAAAAAAATTTGTCTCTTCACCAGCATGTATTTACCAAAAGTCTGATTATACTCATAATTAAAAACAATTTTTGTTTTTCTTTTACAGCTAGTTATGCATCAAATCCCATTTGCAAGGGCTGTTTGTCTTGTTCAAAGGACAATGGGTGCAGCCGATGTCAACAGAAGTTGTTCTTCTTCCTTCGAAGAGAAGGGATGCGCCAGTATGGAGAGTGCCTGCATTCCTGCCCATCTGGGTACTATGGACACCGAGCCCCAGATATGAACAGATGTGCAAGTGAGCATTTGGCTTTTGTCTATCCTGTATTGCTGGATATGCAACTTAGGAGAGGAGCTAAGTTGAAGATTTTGACTGATTTTTAAAAAAATATATTTGTAATAGGCAGTAGAAATAGTCTAAGCTTGTTGGGTGTGGTGGCTCACTCCTGTAATCCCAGAACTTTGGGAGGCCAAGGTGGGCAGATCACTTGTGGACAGGAGTTTGAGACCAGTCTGGGCAATGTGGCAAAACCCCATCTCTACTAAAAGTACAAAAATTAGCTAGGCATGGTGGTGCACACCTGTAATCCCAGCTACTAGGATGGCTGAGGCACCAGAATCTTTTGAACCTGGAGGCAGATGTTGTTGTAAGCTGAGATCTCTGCTGTGCTGTAACCTGGATGACAGGGTGAGACTTCATCTCAAAAAAAAAAAAAAAAAAAAAAAAGAATCTAAGCTCAAACTTGCAAAAATGAGTGTGGTAAGTGTGGTAGGATAAGAGCACTTTTAGTTTATATTTTGTATAGTACTGTAAGACACAGTCACACATACACACTTTATTTTAGATTACATAAAATTTTTTTTAAAATCACAAGGATCTCAAGCACAATATTGTTTGACAGATTTTTGGAAAGAGGACCTACTCAGTGCTTATAAAAAACAAACAAAAAAACACCAAGTAATTTAAGTACTTATACTGAGAACAATCTCTCTGTTTACCAGTTTCTATAGCTTCTTTTTCTCTTTTTATTTGAGTTTGTAATCCTGACTTAGTCTACCTTGCAATTAAATACATGGTAAAGGTGGTTTCTTTAAGAACCATTATTGTTATAACTAAAAAGTTTAGGTTATTTTAAAGTAATCTGAGTTGCACGTTTAATAACTATTTTTAAAAAAGGTTAAGGAATGGCATCTTGTACATAAGAATGAGGGTGCAGTTTTTCATCTCTTAATCCAAAAATTGCTTACAAAATGAGTCTTCTAGATCAGTCATATAAATTGTGGTTTAAAAAAATAAATGAGAAAGCAAAGGAACATCCCTTTCTTGAAGGAACTCAAATTTTAGGAGGTAGAAAGGATAACAAAAAGGGGACCACAGAATAAAATGACAAATGGTAAGTAGTTCAATCATAATTTAATATATTAAGTGCTATGTCAGTAATAATTAAATCACTCATATATATGTGCATATGTATAAGATCATTAAATCTCATATTTATGAGAGTGGTTTAATGATCTTCCATTAACACACTATGTATGTGACTATTCAGACAAGACAGTCTTCAGATGAGAAGAGGGTTTGAATTACATCATCCAATGACAATATTATTTTGGAAGGAAACAGAACTAGTGGGGGCTATTTAAATGAATTCTAGAAGGAAGGAACCACATATATGTAAAAATAAGGTGCCTGGGGAACAAGAACTCTGACCCGGAGTGTTCTTTGGTATTTTGGCAATGCAATTCTCTGTTTCATGGGACCTGTCCTACATTGCTGGACATTCAACATCCTTGGTCCCTGCCCATTAAATGTCCTTTTTGTTTTCAAACTACTGTTATAAGCAAACATGTCCCCAAACATTTTTAAACACTTCCTGGAAGAGCAGTATGGTAGCTGGATGAAAACCATTGAAGAGCATGTGCCTAGTGGGAGGTGTGGTTGGAATTGAGGATGGAAAGGGAGGCTGCAGTGCAACGGATAAAGGTGTTGCCTGCCACACTAGGAAGTCTTGGTATTATCTAAGGGTACTGAGTAGGCAATGAGCTAAAGAGATTGCTTTAAGATAATTCTAGCAGAAGTGAGGGAGATGAATAGGAGAGGAAAACAAAGCAGAGGAAGACTGCTGTAATGATTGCAGATTAGAAATCTTGTTCTGATGATTTTTTGTGGGTAATGAATTGCCGAGTCTTTAAAAATAGAGCCAAAGGGGCCTGGTAACTAACTGGACAGGGCTAAGAGAAAGAATCGAGCATGATCTTGAGGTTTTCTATCTAAGGTACTGGGTGAAGTTATACCATTAGCAGAGTTAGAAATATTTAGGCTTGGAGGAAACTTGGATCTACCTTCATTTTGTGGAATTGTTTAGATTAATATTTAAAAGACACAGCTCCCTACCAGTTAATAGAATGGCTTGCAAATATTTAGAAAATATTCATTTTGTTCTTAAAGTATATGATTTAGCCTACCTCCTAATTTATGTCTCATGGTTTATATACTTCCAGAGGTGGATAGGGTCCACCTTGGAAAGGATTCCTGTTCAGATTGCTGTAGACCACCAATGGAGGGGGTGGTTTGAGTCCACTTTATTCTTTTTTTTTTTATTCCAGGCTATCAGTGCACAAGGATGACAAGGCAAGAGTATAGATAGATAGAGGTATTTATTCCAAGTTCTAGAGCTAGCATTGTATGTACTGTGTATGGACAATAGGCTGGCCATATAATGTATTAACTCAATGTGGAACACTGGGAAATGAAAGAGGCTGCCATTAACAACTATGTAGGGAGATTGGATGGAAACCAGGACCATCCTGTGCAAACTGGTATGAATGGTCACGCCAGCAATACTTTGTAGCATATCAGTGGAGTCTTCCTTAGAGAGATACTCTCAGGCAGGAGTTAACAGCACATTTTGGCTAAGTTTTCTTTTCTCAGAAATGGAAAGGAGAGCAGTGATTGTAAATCAGCCTTAGAAAGAAAAATCTGCATATGGGAAAGGGTTTGCTGTGGATAGCCTTCTTGTAAGTGAATACAATCAATGTTGGAGTTTACTGACCTAGAGGAAATCATAACCTGGTACAAGCGGGAAGTGCTATTAACAAGACCCCATGAAAGCAAAGTGAAAAATGGAAAATTACTTCTTAATTCTCAGTGTATGATAATCATTTTTTTTTATACCAATTGTTGCTCTCTTTCATGACTACTTTGCATATACTGCGTTGATGTTTATATTTTGTTCAGGGTATGAGATTTAAATTGTAAAGCTGTCAGAGACTTAGAATTTGAAGCCATATCCACTTTTTGCTTCCTTAAAAGATAATTGCTCAATAGTAGAAAAGAAAATTATGCTTTCAGCAATAGTAGCCTAAAAAATCTTGTAAGTGAAATTTACTCATCTGTTTCCTAATCACTACAGTACAATTTCAAATGTAAAGCAATATTCTTCTTTTGAAGGAAGATTTGCTCGCTAAAACGTTGTCTAATGTTGGCCTCTTTGTATATAGAGTATGAAGCTTATAAAATTCAACCATACTTATGGAAACCAATTCAATAGCCATCTGAGTAATTCTGTGAATACGTGCACTAACAGACACTAGAAACTGCCATTGTCCCTGATACTATGTTAGATGTTATTTCACTCATATTTTTTTTTCTCATTCATTCATGAAACTAGTTACATAAAAGTTTATTTTTTAAATTGTTCTACATAGCCCTTGTAGAAAGCTTAGGAAAGTGCATAGGAGGCCTAAAACAAGCAAAAGCAAGCACTTCTCTCAAAGATAACAAAAGCAAACAAAAGATTTTGTCTTCTCTTCTTGACATTATTTCTATGAGTATTTGTGATTTTCCTTACCTTACAAATGTATCATTGTGTTTTGTAACTTGTTTTAACTTAATAAATTATAAACATATTTTCATGCCATTAAATATGGCTGCATATATTTTGAATGGTTATATTTAGTTAATTGCCTGTTGAAAATTTGCTTTTAGTTTTTCACAGTTATAAGCAGTTCTATGAAAAAGATTCTTATATATAAATTCTTGTTCTCTCATATACAAATTTTTCACATTTGCCTGTTTTATTATTTTTTTTTAAAGATGAACTTTTAAACATAATACATGTTTTGAAGGTATATATTGCCAGTTGGATTTCTAGAAAAGTTGTATTAGTTTACATCTTCACTAACAGTGGACATTTTCTCTTGCATTTCCCTGGCAATTAATGACAAGTAGAAAACTGCATTTTTGTCTTAATATGCTTTTTCTTTGATACAAATGAAGCTGAACATTTTTTTTGTCACAGGAATATTGGCATTGTAGAATGTTTACCAGAGTCACTGCCACCTCTTTTTGTACAACTGTCATGTTTTTAGTAATTAAAAAACTTTTTGAAGTATGCAGAATTCTAAATTCACAAATAATAAATGGAGAGTTTAATCAACTATTACAAAGTAGATACATTTAACTCCCACTGAGGTCAAGAAAGAATGTTAGCACTACCCACTCACTAACTTCCCATTCGCCAGTGTCTTCTCCTTTGGCATGAACTACTATCCTGACTTGTAAACAAAACACATATAAAACATTATTCATGGCAACACTATTTATACTGATTATGACTTGGAAACGACCCAAATGGCCAAACAGTATAATACCTAAAAATATAGTATATTAATATTGACATTTAACAAAAAGCAAGGAAAAGCCAATGGAGGAGGCTGTGACCAACTCCCTAGGAAAACAGTCAGGATGATGTCCTAGAAGCACAAGTGGGAGGTCTTGAGGAGAAGCAAGTGGTCAATGTCAGTGTTGCACTGTTTAAACAGTAGAGCTGTTGACCTTCATGTGAGTCATTTCATTGTTTTTGTTGGGACACCCACCATCCTGATTGCTATGGCTTTGCGGGGGCGGGGGCAGGGGCAGTACGTGGAGTCATAGGAAAGCACCCAGTGATTACATATACTCGTTTGCTTCTTTCACTTCTCTGCTAAGTGTATTTAAAACGAGTATCTGATGATAACTGGAGGGCTCACATATGGGTAAGTTGGGGTGTGTGTGTTTATGTTTGTGTGTGTTTGTGTGTGTGTCTGTGAGTGACAGGAGAAGTAAGTAGGAAAGAGCCAATTGAGGAGGATAGACAGAAAATAATGAAGAAACAAGATCCCTAAAGGGACAGAAAAGGATAGAGTCCAAAACATAGGTGGGGAAATTCACCTTGGGCAAACATTCATTCAGCAATTTATGAAGTATCTACCTCATGTCAATCAAGGTTAAGGATTCTTTTTGTCATGTACTAGGAA